CATGGTCTTCCCCAACTGTGGGGGGTGCATAGGCGGCACACACATCCCCATCCTGACCCCCGACCACCATGCCTCGGACTACATCAACAGAAAGGGGTACATTTTGATGGTGTTTCATGCCCTCATGGACCACAAGGGGTGGTTCTCAGACTTTAGTGTTGGGTGGTTGGGAAAGCTAACAATACCCTCATATTTTGGAACTCAAGCCAGTTCCAGAGGATGCATGCCAGCACTTTCTTCCCTGACCGCACTGTTAGGGTTAGGGACATGGACATGCCCATGTGCATGTTGAACAATGCAGCCTACCCCTTGCTGCCCTGGTTAATGAAGCAGCCTGGACCCCACCGAGGAGCATTTCAAGGCCAGGCTCAGCGGGGGCTGCATGGTGGTCGAGTGTCTTTGACTGCCTAAAGAGGATGTTCAGGAGTCTCCTCGGTGATCAAAACATCTGCTCCATAATGGCGGCCTGCTGTGCGCTCCACAACCTCTACAAGAGCAAGGGGGAGACTTTCCTCGAGGGTGGGGGGCAGAGGCTGAGCGGCAGGCCAGGGTTTAACACACATGCACCATCAGGAGAACACATCAGGGCACTGTGCTCATCCAGGAGCCCGTGAGGGAGAGTTTCAGCCAAGGCCACCTGTAAGACTCTCCCCAAGGCCTCTCCACAAGGGGCCTCTGCATTGCTCCTGTGTGCCTTTCCTCCCCCACAGCTCCCTTCCACTGCCCTCCCTTTCCTCCCTCCCCTGCAGACCAAATAAAGGGGTTTTTATTTGAAAAAACAACTGTCATTTTTTATGTGGGGGATATACACTAGGGGAGGGACTGAACATAGGAGGGCGAGGAGGTGGGGACAGGGGTTCAGGGATGAGGCTGGGCCTGGTGCTTGCCTTGGGTACCTTGGGAGGCTTTGGCTGTCAGGGAGGTCCCATTGTCACATGTTTGGGGGGGCCAGTGGCCCCTGGAGGTGCTTGAAGGAGAAGCTGGGAGTGTAAGGGCAGAGAGTTGGGAGTAGGGATAAGGAAGTGGCTGGTGGCTCGCTCCATACCTGCGGCCTTGTTCTCCATGACTGATGTTACTGTGGAGAACATAGCCTTATGCTGATGCAACAGCTGCTCCCACATGGCTTTCCTCTGATCAGCTTGCACTCCTAATTGAACCTCCAGATGAGGGACTGGAGGCAGGCCATCTGCTCCCACAACAGGTCCGCAGAAGTTCTTTTCTGCCTGCAGATCCCATGCCATTATGCAGATGGTGTGGGAGGTGGTGGAGGCTCTGTGCTCCCAGCTGGTCTGGCTGTGAAGAAAAGTGACAAGGGCAGTAATGCTAGGAGACACTAGGCATGAAGCCTGGCCCTAATCTGTGATCCGAAACTGAAGATCTCAGTTTAGATGATGATGATATGCTTCGAGCAAGGCAATCTGTTGCTTACATGGCATGGATGTCCCAGGGGAGCCTAACTACCTCCACATCTCAGAGACAAGCAGGCATGAGAAGGTGCCAGGTAGGCCAGGAGCCTGCGGGGGAGGAGGGCGGGTCAGCATGAAGCCTGGCCCTAATCTGTGATCCGAAACTGAAGATCTCAGTTTAGATGATGATGATATGCTTCGAGCAAGGCAATCTGTTGCTTACATGGCATGGATGTCCCAGGGGAGCCTAACTACCTCCACATCTCAGAGACAAGCAGGCATGAGAAGGTGCCAGGTAGGCCAGGAGCCTGCGGGGGAGGAGGGCGGGTCAG